TATAGCAGTCGGCTGCTCGCAGACGAAAGCGTAGAAGCATCGAATTGTTCGCTATGGAAGGTTCTTGTTTTATCGTTTCTAGATCGTACTAGTTATCGGCTTCTCTCTTTCATCTGACATTCGCCTCGCATTTTCGCAACAATATAATAATCTCAAAAGCATACCTACTAAGCAAAGAATGAAAATAACACTCAATTTAGCGCAACACCATTTGTAATAAAATTTAACTGTAAACAGGGTGTTGTTTTCGTGATGCCTTTGAAAGGGTTATTTATCTTCTCACTCGTCAAATCACTATCCGCCAAATGCCAGCTCATGTGGTATGGACAACGACCCTTAGTGACCGCGGTATCATCGCCACAAGTTGGACAAAACTCCTGACCTCCAATACAGTTCTCCACCGAAGCCATAACCTAACCAATCGCTTTGAAAGTTGAAAACACTTGCACATTATAACAATCGAAGACTTCACGAACTTTCATCGCTGCATTGCACTCGGCCGTCTTCATTTGATTCCGAAAGGTATTCGTATCGGCGTAAGTCTTTGCAGCGGCATTGGTCACCGCTGTCGAAATGCACTGGGTGTAATTTGTTTCCGTAAAATGGCCGACATGCTTCTTCCTGCAATCATTCACTGCTGACGTTAATGTGCTCGTGTAGTAGTTTTTCAGATTTCTCACAGTCGTCTCAACGGCCGACACAAGACCGGAATACGCATTATTGCCTTTCAGAGTACATTCTTTCAGTTTGGTTGTCAGCTGTGCAATTTGTGGCAATTTCGCGCGATATTTATGTACACAATAATCATTGATGTCATCGAGCAGCACTAACGGATTCAGTTTATTATCTACCTCTTCCAACTTCGTCTCCAACAGTTCTATATTGAAAGCGATAACATCGAGCCGCGCATAAAAGTTGGTCTTGAAGTTGGCCAAGCTCTCTTCCAATTCCTTCACACGGAGACCGAATTGCCGCTGATGGTGCAGGAGAAAGAGATCAGCACGCGGGGTTGTTGATATATTGTAGTAGAGTACGTCCGGTAATATAGTGATTTCGCACTGGAAGAGATCAGTTAATGTTGTATAGAAATAATTACCTATTATACATATATGTTATTATCTCAAAATATTTGCAATAAATTATTAATTGAAATATTAATCTCGCACATATGTACCTGTGCTCTGCAGACACAGAACATGATCAGAGCAAATGTAATCTTACTGAACAGTCTTATCATTTTGAATATTATTTGGCAACTGAGTGAAAATCGCCTCTTCATTGCGTAGATTTATAGTAAAAAAACAAAAACCCCGGGATTAATATTATAGAAAACACAGACTGAAATCGCTGCAGAAAACACAAAGTTGATAAGGGTCGTTCAAGGTTGCGGTTGAAAGAATATGGCACGATAAACCTAAGCTTATTATCTGAGAACAGTAAAAATCATTTACTCTGTGTCTAAGTGGCAGCTGCAAATGTAATCTGCTTTAAAAAACGCCAATAAATAACAAATAAATTTTTAATCAGTGTCAAATCTCTCAAAACGCTTGATAGGGCCTTATATGCGCTTCATGACCGTTCGACTGCATCTTGTAAGCCCGCAATCCAAGATCCTTCCACAAAATATTCCATAAAGTGCTCCAATTATTACGCGCGTTGGCAAGTGAACTCATTCGTGTCTTTTTCGATACTCTGCTCCACAGCAGCTATATAGTCTTCGGTGCGTACTGTATAGGGTCCTTAGATCCATTGTAGCTCGAATTATCGACTCTGATGGTCGATTACGTCGACCAAACGCAGCGATCATCATGCGAACCGAACCATTATTTTTTCGGAGATTAATTAAAATAGGAGCTGTCAAAAAGATGTGCTCCGAAAAAGGTAATACAGGGTGCGCCATCTGTATGTTGTCAATAGAAATGTTGAATAGCTTGAACAATTTTCAATGAATTATTTTACTATCAAATTTAAAGCCTTACAATTTTTTCCAGTTAGGTTCGAAAAACAAGGTTGATCAAATGACCACCTTCATTGCGCAAACGAAACTTCACTATGGCATTTTCCATGACATATGCCAGCATCTCGGTCGATATCGCAGCGATTTCAGCGCGTCCAAAGTCTTCAGTTTGTTGTCATACACTTTGCTATTCAAAAAGCCCCACAAAAATAAGTCTGGTGCAGTCAAATCGGGCGATCTTGGTAGTTAGTCGATATCCCCTCCTTTCGATACGACACGTCCGGGGAACTTTTGCCGCAAGAATTTCATCGTTGATTCCGCTGAACGAGTCTCCCGTGGGTCTATTTCCGCACGTTTTTTGGGCGTAAAGCGACACATGGTTGTAATTGTATTGAAATAACCTTTCCAAAAGGCTTTTACTGCACGCAATCGGTTGAAATCTTTCGAAGTTATTCAATGTTTCCGTTGAACACATATAGATGGCGCACTCTGTATCTCCTTGAAAACAAAACGTCTAAGAAAGCACCCTTAATACTTTGAAATCTCTTTGATGATCAACACAAATTTATTGTTATTAATAAAAATTAAATATTTTATTTATTTATAGAATCATTTGGGAAATTGAGCTTATCTATTTGTTGCCTTCAAAATAATACCACACACGTCAAAACTGAAAGGGTATAAGTATATGGGAAAGAATTCGCGTGAGGCCCGTCTTAATTTCTCTCTTCAGCTGATAAGAAATATTCCGATTGGAAAACGTAGCATCATTTAGGATTACGCATCAGAAGTAACTCAGGGGAATTTTTTATTTCAACTTGAGATTAATATTAAAGACTCAGCTCAGTGGTTATGTACATATGTACATGTATGAATGCGCATGTAAAAGTATTAATTATCTCTATGGAATTCCCATGAGTTCGCTTACAAAGATATTGTTACGATTTTACTAAATCAACCTCGATTATTTTCCAAATCTTTCGGGTGCGATCTCTGGATTGTTAAATAAAACTCGCCAACTTAATTTGCAGTTTCTTTCTTTATAAAGAATTAATCTAATGTCTTTTATTTACTCCGTGATTCACAATACAATTACAATACACTCTACTATTTACAATCACTATCATCAACTTGCACTATTCACTCTACTTAAATGTACTCTCCAACGTGTTTACTTTACGACTTCACTGATGTTAACGCCAACGAGTTTGCTTTATCACTAACTTGACTTGCAGCTGAGTGTCGCCTTTATATAGCAGTCGGCTGCTCGCAGACGAAAGCGTAGAAGCATCGAATTGTTCGCTATGGAAGGTTCTTGTTTTATCGTTTCTAGAACGTACTAGTTATCGGCTTCTCTCTT